AAACAACTGCACCTCCCAGTCGCGAACCATTTCAACTCCCCCTCCCATTCCTCAGACTCCTGCAGTGCCACAACGATGCCACCCGAAAGTTGCAGGAACAGCAACTCGTATTCCGCTTGGGAACCCTGCAGCCCAATGGTATCAATGTGGATTTCACAAGTTTCAAAATCTCCCCTCCCCCTACCGCATCCCAAAACCAGTCCAGCTCGTCCCTGCCTCCCTAACCTGTTCTTCCTCCCACCTATCCCCTCCTCCCACCTCAAGCCGCACCTCCATCTCCCTACCGACCAACCTCATCCCGCCCCTTTGACCTGTCCGTCCTCCCTGGACTGACCTATCCCCTTCCTAACTCCCAACCTACACTCACCTTTACTGGCCCCATCCCCGACTCTTCGACCTGTTTGTATCCTCTCCTCTATCCATCTTCTATCCGCCTCCCACTCTCTCCCTATTTATTTCAGAAACCCCTTCCCCTCCCCCTTTTCTGATGAAGGGTCTAGGCCCGAAACGTCAGCCTCTCTGCTCCTATGATGCTGCTTGGCCTGCTGTGTTCATCCAGCTCTGCACCTTGTTATCTCGGATTCTCCAGCATCTGCAGTTCCTACCATCTCTGACCAAAGGATGTTCTTTACCGATAAACAATCAGCTCCAGCCAGGAGCACCTCCGTGGCAAAAACAAAAAAATCCTGGCCGTGGCAACACCATTACTGGCAATACAGAGCGACACAATCGGGGATTAGCTTAAACATGCAGATATAAATCACATAGTAAACCAGAGCAGGTGAAAACAGCGTCTCCCTCACCTCCGCAGCTCCTGGATCTTGGTCTTATACTTGGTATAGAAAGGATTTTTCTGCAGCTCCTGCTCCTTCTCGGCCTGGTTTAAAACGCCGGAGATGGAGAAAGTGCGGAGATGGTCGGAGACCAGGCCAAGCCCCAGGGGGAGATGACAGCGGCTCCTGACAGCCAGACTTCGGTTAGTCAAGGACCACAGCTCTCTGACCGCCGCCATCCTACCCGCCTCCGTGCTCATCACATGGGCCCCGAGGGAAACTGCGAACCAATCACAACATTCCGCCGTCCAAACGACGCACCAATAAATGTTTCTTCCTTACCATTTCTTAGCTATTACAAAACATAGTACTGGAAATTAATCGTTAATTTCCACCGCTACTGATTGACGTTACGAATGTGTACTGCACTGTCAAAAAAATTCCAACCATCTCAAACATAATCGAGTTGACGGACTTCATTCAGGGGACGGACGCATGAGCCGCTTAAAACACGACGTGACCTTCCCAAGATGGCAGCATAGAGACGGTGTTCGTGGAGAATGGAGTCGGGCACACCCCAGGAGGACGAGACTTTCAGCCATCCTGTGTCCACTTTATTTAATATCTGTGCAAAGAATGTCAGCGAGAATATGGTCAGGCTGGAGCAGGGGGTCTGGGGTAAGACTTGGAGCTGTAATTAACGCACCGCTTTATTGAATCTCTGAGGCTTAGGTTTTACAGGACCACAAGATAGGTGAACCATCCTCTGGCTGAAGAACTTCCTCCTCATCTTAGTTTTAAAGGATCATCCCATCACTCTGACGTTGTTCCCTTGGGTCCCAGAATCTCCTACTAATGCACACATCATAGCCACGTCCACTCGATTCAGGCCTGTTAGTATTCTGTAAGTTTCAATCAGATCGCCATTCGCTCATCTAAACTCCTTCGAGTACAGACCCCAGAGTCCTCAACTGCACCTGATATGATAGACTGTCAACCCTGGGATTGTTCCTGTAAATCTCCTCTGGATATCGTCCAATGCCAATATATCCTTCTCTAGATACAGGGTTCAAAACTGCTCCCAATATTCCTCAGCAATACAACTCTGCTCTTGTATTCTAATTCACTTGAAATGAATGTTAGCATTGTGTTTGCCTTCCTAATTGCCAATTGAACCTGCATGTTAACCTGAAGGGAATCTTGAACTAGGACTCCTAAGTCCTTTGTGCTTCAGATTTCTGAAGCCTTTCCCTATTTAGAAGATAGTCTATGCCTTTATTCTTCCTACCAAAGTGCATGACCTCACATTTTCCCACATTGTACTCCATCTGCCATTTCTTTGCTCACTCTCCTAGCACATCCAAGTCCTTCTACAGCTGCCCCGCTTCCTCAAACACTACCTGCCTGTCCACTTATCTTTGTTTCATCTGCTCAAAATGTCAACAGTTTAACATAAGGCCAATCAGAGCAGAGCTGTGAATGATCTTTGTCAAACTGAAAGAGAAAGACAAAAACAAACTTGCTCGTGATACCTTTTTTCTAAAATAAAAGGTAAGCAAAGAAGCTACTTTAAACAAAATCAAGTGGAAGTGTATAGGTCTGATTTTGCTTTTGGTGGTGCTTTCACTCGTCACAAAAGTCTATCTTTGATAAAGCTCAAGAGGCATTTAATTTTGTCTGAAAGATTGCATCTTCTCTTCAACTGCCACTTTAAATCTCCAAGCTGTGTTTTGTTCAATATATAGGTTTGCCAACTGCAATTCTTCGAGAGCTATTGAATTTCCTTAACATATATGACCTGGAAAGGATTGAAGAGGTTGCAGTAAAGAAAGGTAAAACTACTACAGGAATTTTATGCTTAAGTTTTGCACTTCTGTTAAATAGCTTCCCAGAATTTGGGAAATTGAAATGTTCACTGGATTGGGAAATGTTTATAACTTAAAATTTGCAATCTATTATTAAATTTAACTTTTTTCCCCCTTGTACCTATGTGTTTAACTGTTAATGCTCATAACTTCATCAAAGGAAAGGATCTGGGCAGATTTCTCCCGAAGGTGGATACCCTGAATTGGTTGACTGCTTGTAACCAGAACCAGGAGTCAAAATACTATATTTGATATTGTGGCTGTTATAGAGTTGTAGAATCAGCCAGCATGGAAATGGACCCTTCGGCCCAACCTGTCCATGCCAAACGTAATCCTAAACTAAACTAGTCCCATCTGCCTGCTCCTGGCCCATGTCCCTCCAAGCCTTTTCTATTCCTGTACTTATCCAAATGAATTTTACAAATTGTAATTGTTCTCACATCCACCACTTCCTAAGGAAGTTCATTCCACATGTGAACCACCCTCTGCGTAAAAAGATTTGTGCCTCATGTCTTTTTTAAGTCTCTCTCCTCTCCCTTTAAAAATGTATCCCCAAGTCTTGAAATCCCCCATCCTAGGGAAGAGACAACTCCCATTAACTCGATCTGTACCCCCCCATTGTTTTATAAACTTCCATAAGGTCGCCTCTCAATCTCCTATGCTCCAGTGAAGGATAATGTAGATATGAGTACCTAATTTAAGTTTTGAATATTTGCATTTTTTATTTTGATGAACTCTTGACTGGATAATGCCACAATTAGCAAAGAGGTTTTAAAAATTAATTGCTTAGTTCATAAGCCATTCACCAGTATCTGTTACTGCTTTGCATCAGACTTAAGAACAAGGGAAGGTTGAATGATGAGCTGATGCACTGAAATTCTGCTGTATAATATTCAAGTTTGTGTGATAAGTGGTATTGCATTATTACTATGTTCATTTGGAGAAACATTTAATTGCTTTTCATTTAGGTGCTTTAAGTTGCTTTCAGATGAATACTAAAGAACCTGTAGCACAGTTTGAAGAAGAGCAGGAGAATTATCCAAAAATTCTGGCCTATACCTTTCCCTGAGTCAACATTACGAAAATAATCCATTTACCTTTTACCCTGTCCTCAAAAAGAATGTAGCTAACACAGGATAACAGATGCATTTGGGCATGTAAAAACAGGGACCTGTTCTAGAATAAATGCTGGGATGTTTCAATAGGAGTAATCACAATGTAGATGGAAGCATATTTGCTAAGAAGCCAAATTTATTCCTTGCTGTAAATGTTAATAGATTTGGGGTATGTGTATTCCTCCCCTTCCACATTACAGCATTATAATGGCGGTCATTCATCTCAAAAGGTAATGCTGTAAGAGGCATAATAGTTCAATTACTGTACTAGCACTGATGTCAATTCTTACGCAACAGTTTTTGCCCCAGTGGCTGCAGGTATAAATTATATGGTTAGGTAATGAAATCTATGCAGTATTAACTCTAGAACCTGATGTGCTTCCATTTCATTTTTCTGTTTCTCCCCCCTCAACCTGCTTGATTTGTTAGCAGTGACCAGCTCTCCATTGTAGCCTGTTGCTAACTATAGCTTGTGATAGCAGTGGAAATGGTTTTCCAATCTCAATGCTATACTTTTGTGTCTTGATCTACTTTCTAGGCATTTCAACTCAAGATCTTTGGTTACAGCTATGGAAGGATGTGATTGGAACAAATCCTAAAGTAATAACGGTATGTTTATCCTCGTCTATCTTTTTTTCATATAATTTATGTTGTCAGTTTTAGGAGTTTAAAAAAACAGGGAATCCAATGCAACAAACCTTGCTGTCTTTCTGTATTTTGTAAAAACATAAATAGCAAAAACAGAAGTTGCTGGAAAAGCTCAGAAGGTCTGGAAGGATTCTGAAGAAGGGTCACCAGACCCAAAATGTTAGCTATGGTTTTTTCCTTCACAGATGCTGCTAGACCTGCTGAGCTTTTCCAGCAACTTCTGTTTTTGTTCCTGATTTACAGCATCCGCAGTTCTTTCGGTTTTTAATAAACTAGCAAAAAGTATTTTCTTTCAATGGAAAGTGCTATCAGACTATTTATTTGCTTTTGGTTTTGCTCTGCAATGAGCCCTCCAGATTCTAAAGAAGCTTACAACAAGTAACGAAAAAATAATTTAGTTCTTTTACACAGCCCTTGTTAGGGTAATTTATGGTGAGTTCAATTTGAAGTCGTTGAATTGTAAAGCAAATATTTTCACAAGGCATGAAGTCAAGTTGGTATTCTTGAAGATTTCCTATTAATTTTACACCAGTGAACATGCCTGCTCCTCACCCCCACCCTCCAAAAAATTGTTAATATTGTGTAGCGCAGATCAATATTCATCTGGATTACTTGTAGCACAATATTGTGCTGCACCTGTACTAATTTTCCATGGTATTGATGCAATCCGCTTCATTTCAGTGTAAAAAATAGGCCTGCCAGATCCAATGATCAGATGGGATTTTCACCCTTTGCCTCCCTCCAATAGAGAAAGAAAGAATATTCTCTTGTGAATTTTCTATAGTGGATTGTTACAAGTTGTTTGGGGAAAAAGTGTCCTTAAGAAAACAGAATTAAAGATTCTTCTTAAGAATTTGTAAGTTGACTTTAAATTTGCCACATGGAATGTAGTTGATTTTGTGTACTGACCTGTCTTTTCAATACTGTAGGAACCTTTTAACTGGAGGGCAAAATTTTTGCAAACATTCTTTCATGGAGTCTTGTGGGGAACATTGGACATCTTGAATGACAAGCGTTTAATTAATTCTCGCTCTTCTGCCTTGGTACTCGGATCCCGATATGTAAGCAAGCTAGTCATACGCAACAAGCTTCAAGGTGTGAAAGAACTAGCTGATAATTCAAACATTTGTGCTCATTTGACGTCCACGGTGCATAAACTCGTGTTTCAACATCTGCGTTCTGTGAATCTACTGCTAGAACATTCGCTGTTAAATTTGCTTCATAGCCTTGTTCACCATGGCACTGTGACGGAAGTGATATTGTCAAATTGGAATGAGCCTCACCCTGAATTATTATCTCTGATACTGAGGACAAGTGCAGGATTTTGGCGTAAAGGAAAGAGGGAAGATCGGTGTACTTATTGTTGTGATGATGGCGAATTAAAGATGGGTGTCGAAACAGTGAAGCCAACAGTGCAAAGTAATATATTGGATTGCTGCCATGAGCAGCTACAAAATACTTCTTTATCTGATTGGACATTTACTACTACTGAGAAAGATGGTGGTAAGAAAATCATGTCTCAAAATGCTAACGTGCCCCCTGTTAACTTCTTGTCTAAAAGTGCTCATTGTGTAACTTCTAAAGAAACATCACGTGAAGAACTTTGTCTGGTAAATAGGTCCAGTTGTTGTGAAACACATAGGACCTATCCGAAAAAGCGCAAGTACTGTGGCAAAATGCGTGGAGCGCTGCCTTGTTCTGGAGGTCATGGTATGGTTTTATTGGAACCAAATTCTTCTGCACATAGCAGTCAATTAGACCAGAGGCCCGCTTATTTTGGCAAGATCTGTGATGAGAACAATTGTTGCAAAGGGCAGAAGGTTTTAAAAGGCTCATTGTATCCTTGTGCATGCAACAGGGTTGTGAAAGAGCCTTTATCTCCTCATCAGTATCACAACGGTTCTGAAGAAAACCCAAGTTATTCCCATGAAGCTAATAGTGGAACATTTATTGACCCAACATCATCCAAGGTGATCACTGAGACTTCAGAACAACTTGTGTCTATTTGTGAATGTTCTCATGGTGCTGGTAAACAAAGTGCTGCAATTGCAGAGGTGCAAACTTATGCAAAGTTAAATGCAAGTTTTTCAAAAGGTTCAGTATCTCCTGCTGTGTGTTCTGGGGGATTTGAATCGACAAATGAGCCGTCTCTTCTTAAATCAAACTCTTGGACCTCAGAAGCTCTACTGTCCTGTTATACAAACCAACAAACATGTAAGAAGCCCAGACTGACTGACACGTTGAACATCCAGTCAGCTGAAAAATCAAAGATTACTGGTTTATCTGAAGTAGTTGAGAACCCGGAGGACATCTATGATTATATTTTCATGATTGGTGGAAATAAAACAGACATTGAGCAGAATACCTCAGGCACTGATGAAAACAATGGCAATTTACTGAATGGTTTGAATGACTTTGATTGCTTTGACCAAGAGCAAATGGACAGCTCATCTCTTTCCCACCCTCCTGAGCTTTATCTAAGGAGTATATCGGTGTTGGAAATAACATCAGTCTCACTGACGTACACCACTTCCATAATGCTGTGCAAGTTCCTCAGTTCATGGGTGACCCTCCAGAAACTTGTCTTGGAATACAATGGTTAGTTTGAGGTTTCTAGAGCTGAAAGAAAAGCATCACACAACTTTGGTTCTATTGTATCTCCAAAACATGGAGCTACAGCATGGAGCATAACTGTATTGAATTAGTGTTTCACCTACTGCTCGTTTGTGTAACGACAAAAGATAAGCCTTTGATTCATATCTAAATAAAGGGTGTCTCTTCTATTTCCCTCTCAAAAGGAATTATGAAATTAAATACTAGGTTCTGAGCACTGACTGCAGGTTTTGCCTTGGATTTTTCTTTAAAACATTTCTTGCAAGTATAATGTCCACTTGTCAGAAATGTTATCAAATTAATGTTTGAATTTTCTCAATTATTTACCTCTTTTTAGTTCATCATTGGGATAAAAATTACAGAGATGCAATTATTCCAATCCAGTTTGTACTGACAAGTTATGTTGGTATTTTAATAACCTAATGAAGGCTTTTCTTTAAATTAGTTTCTGCAGCCACACCATTCCTCAGCCTAGACAGGATCAGTAAGTCACTGGTTATTAATTGTCAATGCCCTCCTAACTAGCAAATAGATTTGGGTTTGCTCAGTTGGAAGTATCTACAAAAATTTACATTTATGACATACGAAATAATGATAGTGTATATAGTGTCTGCTTTACATGGATACCACTGGTTATACTCTCTTCTTGTTTCTACTTTAAGGTCTAGGTCCTGCCATCTTTCTGATTCTCAAGGAACTCTATGTCCTCTCTCGATGCAATGACAACAGTCTTTCCACTCTTGTATTAAAAGATGATATCCTTCACCTTCCCATGATAAAGCTAGTTAAAATCCTGCTCAGCATCTTTCCCCGCCTGCACACATTCAGCCTGGGCTTCCTGCTGGAAATACAAAACGAGTCTCTGGAAAAAGAGATGTTGATGAATATTGAAGAGGGAACAGGTTAGAAATACGTTTTTTTTTTAAACAATGTAAAATAAATGCACCATTTTCAAAAGAAATGTGATCTGAAAAGACTTGATTTACTTGGCAAAAAATATGCCTATCGTGCCCTTGGAATTCTGGTCAGGCAGCAGAAAGCTGGCGAGAAAATTGGTGAAGTAGGAAGAGTTGGTAGGTTGAAATGTACATTTTCATAATTTATTTGACTTGATGGCAGTTAACCCTCTATTGCATGACTATGTTTTAACATAGAATTAGCCATTCTTGATTAAAATGTTATGATATGGATGTTCACTTTTGAATTTTGTTTATTTGCTGCTGTGTTTTCTCAGAGAGCTATTTGGAGGATTTGAGTGTGAGTTGGACTAATAAACCCCTACAAGTTGACTTGCTCTTGCCTGTTTTAAGAGAATTGAAATTCCTCAGACGTCTGTGTCTGCACAGGGCATCATTCAGAACTCCAGAGGATCTTGGCAAGCTGTTGCATGCAACTACATGTGCGTGGTAATGTACACTAATAAAGGGAGAAGTCTGTTAAAGGTTTTTCTTTTAATTGTAACTGATTTTGATAACGTCACTGCACATAGGTAGTGTAATGCTGTGTCAAACTGTGAACCAGTGATACCATTTTTGCTGTGAACAATCTTTTAAAGCATCTGGAATTTTTCCTGTAAGCAAATAAATGTTTATTGACTCCAGAGGATCTCTGTAGCTGCATGGTTTCCAATTATTCTGTATTGACTGTGATACTTCTAATGCATAGTCCATTATTCTTTATCCCTACCTGGATAGCCCATTGCTTGGAGATTTCAATGATCTTCTGGTGTTTATGCCTAATATTTTGAGGCAAGAGTCTCAAAATAAGTGACTTTTATTGATCTGGCAATTTGAAATATTGAACTGTTATTTCTCTTTGAATAGCAGCTTCTTAAATGATTGTAACAATCAACTTGTCTCCTAGACTTTCTTTCTGCATTGGATTGGGTTACCATACAAGATGTTAACCTTGCTGTTAGCTTTAAGGAAGTTCTGGATCTTTTACGCAGTGCTCCTCTTAAAGGTGAGAACACATAAATGCCGAGAATAGATAATACTGAGTTTTAGTTATTGTCTGAATGGTGTTTATCTCTGCATTGAGTGTGATATAATGTAACACACTAAATCTTCATACTAACTTGAAGTTGAGTACTGCTTCAAGATGCGCATCACGGTTTAGGAATCTTCTCCTTTTCACTGAAATATAGAAATGGAACGCAGGAATTGGGTTCTCTGTGCTTCTAGTGAGAATGTGATCTGTGATTATCACTTAAATCGGTTATTAGAGGTCCTCAGTTCTGTCCTTTTTATATTCATTCATGGGGTGTGGGTATTGCTGGCTGAGCTAGCTTTCATTGTCCATTTTATTTATCTGGTGGTGAGGGAGTGACCATGGACTAAAAGATACAAGAGTAGAAATAGGTTATTTGAGCTAATGGGTCTGCTTCACCATTCGATCATGGCTGATATGTTTCTCTACCCCATTCTTCCGCCTTGTCCCCAATGAGTTCCATACGTTCATCACCTTGTAGCTGAAGAAATTTCTCCTCAGCTCAGTTGTGAAGGATCGTTCCTTCACTGTTGAGGATGAAGGTCTTGTCAAATGTCATTTGTAGTCTTTCTTACTAGTGAGAACATCTTCTCCACATCCCACTGTGTCGAGGTCTCTGAATCATTTGTAAGTTACAATGAGATCCCCCTCATTCTTCTAAACATCATCAAGTACAGACCCAGAGTTCTTGGTTGCTCCTTAAATGACAAACCTTCATCCCTGGGATCATTCTTGTAAACCACCTTTGGACCCCCTCCAATGTCAGCGTATCCTTCCTAAGATACAGGACCGAAAACTGCTCTCAGTATTCCAAACGAATGCTAACATTCCATTGCTTAGCTCTGTGTATCACTTGCTGCTTATGCTGTTTGGTGTGTAAGTGATCCTGTTTCATAGCTTCACCAAGTTGCCACTTCATTTTTGGATATGCCTGGTGTTGATCCTGGAAGGCACTCCCTCACTCCTCTTTGAACTAGAGTTGATCCCTGGCTTGATGGTAAAGGGTTTGAAAGGACTGCATTGTTGCTAGGCTAGGGACAATGCCCATTGCTGGCCCCCATTAGGTCACTGCAAAGTTTTTCTCTACTTTTAGTTGAGACTTTAAACCAAGGCCCTCTGCCCTCGTACGGAGATGTAAAATATCCCATGGCACTATTTGAAGAAAAACAAAGGTGTTTTTCCAGCGTTGTGACCCATGTTTATATCTCAACCAACACTAAATAGTTTGTCACATCATTGTCACGTTGTCACAGCAGTGTACAAATTGGCTTTTTTGTTCGAGTATTTCAGAACTACCTCATTGGTAATAAAATAGTTGGGAGGCTTCAAGTTGTGAAAGGCATTATATTGATGCAAGTCCACTCATTTATGTCTTGACTTTTTGAGGAATTGCAAACATGACATGTATGACTTCCGGCAAACTTGATCACAATGAGTAAGAAAGTCCTTTTCAACTTTACATTCACAGGTTTAACATTGGATAACTGTCGTTTGTTTGAAAGACAAACAGCAGAAACTGTGTCAGAAATCATCACTGCTCTGAAGCAAAATCAGTCTCTTAAATTCCTGTCTTTACCTGCAAATCGATTAGGTTGGTATGCCTCATTTTATTCTCCTACCCACTCAACTTGAGGTTTAGCTCTACTGTTATAACTTGCAACAACATGAGAGAAATTAATGACATTTTTAATCCTGCTACATTCCTCGGATGTGTTCCAGTTGTGCCGGTTACAATAGTCCAGAGAGCATAGGACTTAGGAGCAAGAATAGGCCATTCGGGCCTTCAAATCTGTTGTGGCATTCATTTAAGATTATGGCTGATCTGGTTGTGGTATCAACTGCACTTTGGTGTTCACCGTTTCTCCGCTCTCCACTTCCCCCTCCATCAACAGCCACCTTGACTTGCTCGTCTATCTAACTCCAACCTTGAATAAATTCAATGAATTACCTAACCTCTACTGATTTCTGAGGAAGAGAATTCCACATACAAATAACCCAATGAGGGGGAGAAAAATCCTTCCAATCATAAAAACAAGACCTCTCATTCTTAAACTATGACCCTCAGCTTTCATCTCCCCCAGGAGAGAAAAGATTCTTCTGGTATCCACCATATAAAGCCTCTTCAGGATCTTACATGTTATTAAGATTACTTCTCATTCTTCTAAATTCCAATGAGTGTAGGTCCAACCTTTCTTAATAGGATATACCCTACATTCCAGGTATAAGTTGACTGAGTCTTCTCTGAATAACTGATGCTATTACCTGGATACATTAAATAACGAGACCAAACGGTGTACAGTACAGCTCTGTGCAGCTGCTGTAAAATTTCTCTATTTTTATATTCCATTCTCTTTTGCAATAGATACAAGTTTTCTAATTGCCTTCCTAAATATGTGTTATACTTGCGCACTAATTTTAGTACCCGGGCACCCAGATTCCTCTATACCACCGAATTCTGCAAACTCTCCATTTACGTTGAACTGTTTTTTGTTTGTTTTTTTTTTTTTTTTTTTTTTTTTTTTTTTTTTTT